GTGCAGTGCCACTGACTGAAGTGTCTTTAGGCCATTCCCAAAGGGGGTATATTTCTTGTTCTTATGCACAGTAGAATTGTAAATGGGCTGATTCATCAATGTCACTCACATAACTGCCTGAACTACAACAGGGAACTGCTGCTTTTTCTTTCCTAATCCTTAGGCCTACTCTATCTCATTTTCCTCTACTTCTTTTGTATGTTTGTCACACTCTTGTGATCCGCTATTTCCGGGCTGCCTTGATAGTAATGATAGTTCGAAGCAGACTTCGTACTGTTGAGGCTAGAGAGGTGAGCAGAGTAAGCCCGATTCCCTGTAAAGACTTCTCTGTTGACATTTACCCCTTGGCGCTCATATGACCTTATAATGCAGTTGCGAGCGTCGTAAAACCTCTACTATAGAAAAAAAAATAAGATTACGGACCGAAAAAAGGCGTTGGCATAGTCGGTTTTATGGAATGTCCCAGAAGAGCACACGTGTCTCTTCTAAGAGGTCGGCCCCTAAACTAAGGAAAACTGGTTCCTTGACGCGATCAGTTTGGTGAAAGTTACATTCTTGGGTCACATAGAAGAAGCTCAACAGTGTAGAAAGGACATTTTTCTAAAGAAGTGTTTTTGGAAAATGTGACAGAGATTGCCTGGAAAGAAAATGGGGTGAAGACGTCAGTGAAAAACGGGAGTCACAAGTCCCCGAAACAGGACCCAGGCTGTCGTTAGGACTGCATGGCTGGCAACCAATACACACGACATGTATTTGACATGTTCCTAAGACAGGACCCATGGCTGGCAAACCAGTAGACACGACACGTATTTGAATAGACAGGACCCATGACTGGTGACCAGTAGACACGACACGTATTTGAATAGACAGGACCCATGACTGGCAAACCAGTAGACACGACACGTATTTGAATAGACAGGACCCATGACTGGCAAACCAGTAGACACGACACATATTTGAATAGACAGGACCCATGGCTGGCAAACCAGTAGACACGACACATATTTGAATAGACAGGACCCATGGCTGGCAAACCAGTAGACACGACAAGTATTTGAATAGACAGGACCCATGGCTGGTGACCAGTAGACACGACACGTATTTGATATACATTGTATTTGACATGTTCCTGAAGGGTTATTACTTTGACATGTCACAATATATTCGTATTTGACATGTTCCTGAAGGGTTATTACGTTGACACGTCACAATATATATATATATTGTATTTGACATGTTCCTGAAGGGTTATTACGTTGACACGTCACAATATATATATATTGTATTTGACATGTTCCTGAAGGGTTATTACGTTGACACGTCACAATATATATATTGTATTTGACATGTTCCTGAAGGTCTCATTATGTAGACACATCACAATATATATATATATGTTCCTGGAGGTCTCAGTACGTAGACACATCACAATATATAATATATATATATATTATACATTGTATTTGACATGTTCCTGAAGGTCTCTGTACGGAAGTCATGTTTGTGTTGGGGAAATTTGTAGTCTTTGAGTTTTAGTACACATGTAATGTTTTTGGTGGAGTTTTCGATATGCTGAAGAAAAATGATGATTTTCGAGGCAAGATTTGCAAAGAAAAATGAGAGCGAAGCCAATAAGTCCTTTAGAGTTGTGAAAGTACACAGTCAGAGCTCGTTGCTAAATAGTTATACTTCTATTGTTATTGCTTCAGATCTGTGAAGTGTCGGAGGGGAGGTGTGCGGCCAGTGCCCATCATCTTGACTTATTGGGAAGGGGGGAGGGGTAGGAAAGTCTGAGTTTTGGTTTTGTTCAGTGGGCAGCTGTGGGGCTGCTTTCAGGCTGTCAGCGAAGCTATGATCTGACAGAGACATAGGCCCCTACAGGCTAGAAGACTTGTAGGTCTCCTGGATGGTTGTGTCAACAACAAGATTTCCTGGTCTCATGGGTGGTTGTGTCAGCAAGATTTCCTAGCCTCATGGGTGGTTGTGTCAGCAAGATTTCCTACCAGGCGATTGTCTGGTTGGTGCACGTGTGTGTAGTCTACTTTAAATCTTTCACTTGATGACAGGATAGTGGATTGTCCTTTTGACCAGGAGGACAATTTCCCTACCGGTACTTTTAAACAATCTTTATCAGTAAACTTCACTCCACACGGAGTGCATAGATCTCCAAGGCATTCCCGAATCACTTGAGAGATAAGACATAGATTGGGGGCGATAGTAGAAAGGCACAGTTGGCTTGGCAGATGTTTTTGCAAGGGAAGCTTTTTCTTTTCCTGAGAAAAATAGCATTTGGTTTTTAGGTGGACAGTACAGCAGTTAGCTTAGAGCTCTCTCTCTCTCTCTCTTTCTCTCTCTCTCTCTTACTCTTTCTCTCTCTTACTCTTTCTCTCTCTCTCTTACTCTTTCTCTCTCTTACTCTTTCTCTCTCTCTTACTCTTTCTCTCTCTCTCTCTCTTTCTCTCTCTCTCTCTCTCTCTCTCTCTCACTCTCTCTCTCTCACTCTCTCTCTCTCTCTCTCTTACTCTTTCTCTCTCTCTTACTCTCTCCTCTAATAAACACCATTTTTCGCTGGGATAACAAAATGACATAAATCAGACTTGTGCAAAAATGTAACTCCCCTTTTATTGTGTTTGCTTGGACTCTATCATGACTCGATCTATCCTCTGGTAAAACTAAAACAAAAATGCGCTCTCAGTCACAAAAGAAACATGCATGGAAAGTTTTACCATTATTAGATGACAAATAGTCTAGTTTAACAGTTGGTTTTTCCCATTTATCACAAAAGTAACAAAAATGAAATGTCCCATTTTGCTAGTGCAATTACGATTTGGTCTTTTACTTTTTAAAAATTCCTACGCAACATGTTTCCTCTCTAATTTTTTTTTTTTTTTCAATGACTTGCAGTTACTGCTTTTGTAATAGGACTAGACAAACTGGTAAAGAGTCTCACTTTGACAGCTTCCTTTTCTAGGTGTTCATGTCCAGTTGTGCAGATTTGTGGATACAAGTTTTCGTGAATGTATTTTTATTAGAGAGTAGTTTTTACTCGTTTGTGCCCAGTTACAAAACTTACTCCACACGAAAATTTCGAGGTGGGTGAGTTAGGAAATACTCTAGATCTATATTTTGACAAATTTCTGCAGGATCCAGTACTTGCATGTTGATGATTGTAGGAAATTGATTTGTTACCGAACATGTTACATGTGTACCTCCCGGTGTTACGAATACCAAAGCAGAGCTGGTTGTTTGTAACGGAGTACAAGTACTCCGGTACTTGTACTTACGTTACAATTTTCGGTACTTTTACTGTAGGCCTACTCCGGTACATTTTGAGAACCAGTACTTTTACTAATTAAAGTACTTTTGAGTATTTTTAAAGTGCATTTTGAGTAGGCGTACTTTTGAAGCTTTATGAAAGAATAAGTGCCGGCATTTCCGATCAAAAACAAACACCCGGGCGGGCACAGCCGATCAACCAAGAGTTAAAAGAACGGCCTGTCGCGTCAAAGATCAGCCACTCTCATGAATGTGATCACAAGAGTTGTAAAACTCCATGAAACGGTACAATGATCCCCAGACGGGATCACACATAGGTGTGATGTGAACTGACCGATGGGCGTTTCTTTTCTCCAAACATCACACTCGCATCTGAGCTCGCCACCTGAACTTACATCACTCGCTGGGTGGGTAGGGCCTGCAAGTTCGCTCCAGGCGGGATCACATCGAACTGTGAACTCTTCCCTGACCATTGTGGAATCCTGTTATAACGAGAGGGAGGGGACTGGAGCGAAATGTCCGTTATAGCAGGATTCTCGTTACAAGGGATCCAGTAATAAATTCAAGGGAAATAGTAAAGTAGGCCTAATCTATGATTTGGCGTTCTGTTTATTCCTTTTTGTATTTCCCCTGATGATGATTTGTTCAACATGATCTCTTGGTCTTACTGGATCAAAAATCGAATCAGGTTTCTTTCTCTAGCACTAGCAATGTTGACAAATCGGCCTTGGCGATCAGAAAGAAGGGGCTCTGGCTCTAGGCTAACTCGCCCGCAGTGTTTTCCCCCACCCCACCACACCCTGTGGTGCGTTGCGTCTGCTTGCGCACGTCATACATTCACCCCATCTATCACAGCATTGTGACCTTTCCATCCCGCACCAGAAAAGTGAGAGGCACGGTATGCCTAGATAATCTAGACTGGGCTGGCCTATCACGCGATGCGTTCTGCTTGTGTCTGCGCATGCCACACCCTCCCTACTCATTCGCTCCGGCCTTCACTGTTGGTTCGCGTACGCTCTCCCATTCCTTGTTTCGCTGGATCACCGACAACTTTTTCAACTGGCAAGGTTTTATATCATGTTTAATTGGTCTGTGCGCTGTGCACAGCAGCAGCAATATTCCGTTATAACCGACTAACGTGACGGTCTGATTGCGCAATAGCAGTATTTTATTTTCAAAGATAAAGAAGGAAAAAAAAGGTTTTAGAACAGTGTTTTTATAACAGACTTCTCGTTGTTTCAGGACTCGTTATAAGTGGACTCCACTGTATATCTGGCACTCTAATTATCTTACATTCTGTTCCAAGGGTTCATAACTTATCTTCTTGAACCACACATTTGTCTTCTAGCACTCTACTGTTCAAAGGATTCATCACTTATCTTCTTGAACTTGAACCACACATTTGTCTATCTAGCACTCTACTGTTCAAAGGTTTAATCACTTATCTTCTTGAACTTGAACCACACGTTTGTCTATTTAGCTTCTTGAACTTGAACCACACATTTGTCTATGTAGCTTCTTGAACTTGAACCACACATTTGTCTATGTAGCTTCTTGAACTTGAACCACACATTTGTCTATCTAGCACTCTACTGTCCAAAGGATTCATATAACTTATCTTCTTGAACCACATTACCTTGAAAAGTTTATTTATAGGGGCCTACTTTTATGTTTAATTTAAGGTCAAGGTGTGGTTAGTACAAACTGCATGATTTTTGACTGAGATTCCAACTGGCATTCTTTACTGTAGGTGGCAAGTGTAGTTATTGATAGCCCAGCGGGTCTTGCCATGATGATGAGATATATTCTTTTCCTCCCCTCCACAGCTCGATTTTTTACAGAAAAGCATGAGTGGGTGTCGCTAGAGAATGGCACGGGCACAGTGGGAATCTCAAACTATGCTCAAGTAAGCTTTCCGATCCAACTTGTTGTTTGTGTGTGTGTGATCTGCCTGCATCTTGTTTAGTTGATGTTTGTTTCAGCCGACCATCTTGTTTAGAATTTAGAGATGTTTGTTTCAGTCAACCATCTTGTTTAGACAGAGATGTTTGTTTCAGTCAACCATCTTGTTTAGACAGAGATGTTTGTTTCAGTCAACCATCTTGTTTAGACAGAGATGTTTGTTTCAGCCAACCATCTTGTTTAGAGATGTTTGTTTCAGCCAACCATCTTGTTTAGAGATGTTTGTTTCAGCCAACCATCTTGTTTAGAGATGTTTGTTTCAGCCAACCATCTTGTTTAGAGATGTTTGTTTCAGCCAACCATCTTGTTTAGAGATGTTTGTTTCAGCCAACCATCTTGTTTAGAGATGTTTGTTTCAGCCAACCATCTTGTTTAGAGATGTTTGTTTCAGCCAACCATCTTGTTTAGAGATGTTTGTTTCAGCCAACCATCTTGTTTAGAGATGTTTGTTTCAGCCAACCATCTTGTTTAGAGATGTTTGTTTCAGCCAACCATCTTGTGAGATAGTGAATGGGAAATGGGAAAGCAACAGGGCAAACCCCCCCCCCCATGTTTTTGCCACGTGGAGACAGAGGCACAGAGTGTATCGGGACAGTGGGGAGGATGTATGTGGCAGACTTTTGATTTTTGAACTTTCTTGTAGTTTTCAAAAGATTTGTACCATAGACTGAGTGCTATTGTTGGGTAACTCGTTGAGGGTTTCCGTTCTGAGAGTATTTTTAGATTTGTTCTGAATATTTTTTCTTGGTTTTCAGGAACAGCTAGGAGAAATTGTGTACGTGGAATTTCCCGAAGTGGGCAGTACACTAGAGGCCCAAGGTAAGTGGGTTCACTGTGTGCTGATTCTAAAAGGACGCTGTCGAGACGGATGATAACAGTGTGACCGTTTATGTCGGACAATGAGCAATGCATCTGCAGAGGAGAATATTAGTGTAGAGAAATAGATGAGAAAGTAGAAAGTGAAGGTTACCGTGCCTTGTGGCGGCTTCTATGGACAATGATTCTGACCAAAAAGTTTGCCACATTTTGAACATTTTCGAGCTCCTCATTTTTTCTTGTGCTTGTCTCTCGACTCCAGTATTGTCATGGTTAAATATTATATATTCTATTCTATTCATATCGCAAGGGAATAGTGGAAAAGTAACTGAAAAGCTAGAGTGAGAAAGATGTAGGGGGAAAGTACTGCAAGTAGCTTACAGCTGTGGCTTTGCGTAACCCTCTCTCCCTCACTCCCTCTCACCCTCGCTGCTACACTCACACTAAACTAAGGCTAGCAGCTGCTCATGCATAGACTATTTATAGATCTACGTTCTGTGGCTTTGCGTAACCCTCTCTCCCTCACTCTCTCTCACCCTGGCTGCTACACTCACACTAAACTAAGGCTAGCAGCTGCTCATGCATAGACTATTTATAGATCTACATTCTGCGGCTTTGGTCTTGGCACCTGATGTTTCTGCTTTAAAAAAATAATTAAGTACGTCATTCCTTTTGTTGTGAATGTTAATTTGTATATTATACATGACGCATGCATGATCTGATTTCCCTAAATTGTTGTGCCAGATGTGTCCGGCTGTCTGGAGAGTGTGAAAGCTGCCAGTGAAATCTACTGCCCTGTTGGGGGTGAGGTGACGGAGGTGAACAGTGCCTTGGAGGACAAGCCTGGTCTGGTCAACACCTCCCCTTTGGAGGAAGGTGAGAGACCGGGGAAGGGATGAGGCGACTGTCACAGATGTACACCTTTCTCATTTAAATTAAGATAACATAGAATTAGGCATTTAATTTTGCTTTAACATTTGACAGCTCCCTCCCCCCCCATGTGGTCAATTTGTTGGTTGTGATAACATGGACAAAGCTGGAGGCTTTACGAGACTTCTCAAGGACAAACTTGGCTGACTCTCTGCTTCCTGTCTGTGACATTTACTGATACTTATACCAGGCTGTTTTGCTAGCAATAATGGAGTTGTGAGTCCACTAGGGATTTTTCTTAATTAACTCACTTGCGACTGGGCCCTTTCACCAGTCACAAGCGTTGAAGACTGGCGTTTTTGGGGGTATTTCAATAAATCACCACAACTCTCAGAATTACCCTATTGTAATCATTTTTTGACACAGTAAAGTAACATTCAAGCTTAATGTAATACAAAAAACTAAAGTTGTCTAAGTCTAACACTTTAATTTGTATGATTTTTTAAAAATTGGCATGAATTTGATTTTCCGAAAAATTTCCAGAGACGTGACAAGTAGAATGAAATTCACTGCAACAACAAAAATAAAAGTTCAAAGTGTTCTGGTTTGATTTGTATACATGTGCGAGTGTTTGGTGAAAATATAAAAGCTGGTCTGTGCATTGATTCAGACCCATACACTTAAATTACATGAGACAGATGTACGGCACGACGTTGTGATTTCATTGCGCGAAAAACAACACCGGTACTAGTGCTAGATCTAGCCCTAGAACTACGACTCGGGCCGTGTTCGGGTACATATCCAGGATCCTAACTATTAGACACATCATATTCTGAGACTCTAGAACTAGTAAAACGTACAGAAGTATAGAAAACGGCGAAATTATGTGATTTTTGTTCATGCGACTTCTTCGACCGTTACTACGACGCGACTGTCGGATTACTATCAGCTGTATTATAGAAAAAAACAAAGCGCGAGTTCCGGTCTGTTCAACCCCAGTTGGGGTCACTGTCCTTCACCTTCAATAACTTAAAAACTACCGGCCCCAGAGATACGAAACGAAGTCTAAGTAGCTCAGGCTTGGCGAAACAAGGGTACGAGGCGGGTCTCGCGATCCGTGCGTGATTTGTAGAGCGAAAAAAAATTCCAAAGTTGGTCACGCAGGGCTTGTGAGACCCGTCGCGAGCGTCGCGGCGGGGGTCACGCAACTGTTGTGTGACCCGTCTGAAGTGAGTTAATGTGAACATTTTTATAATTCTATTGCTTACATTCACTTAGTGCCATTATTAACACTTTCCTTTTTGAGGAACCATCCATTTGTTGGACTTTCATTACACTTTGTCACCTGTTTCTGCACTTACTCAAGTGTAGCAGGGCTGCCTAAGTCTACCAAATGGTCGCAAAGTGTGCTGGCTATTTTTAGGTTAATTTCAGCATTCAAAACAAGAGAGAGCAGCGAAGAAGAGAAAGTAGTGCAAAGGACGACGCGGCACACGTTTGTTACTGCAAATTGAGGTCGCCGTAGGAGCCCACCGGTACATTTCACAGTCAGTGTTATTGAGCCAGACCATAGCGCACGAGTTGTTTGAAGTAACCGACAGAACGGCACAAGGCTTTTTGGTTTTTTAAAGTGTTTATGGCGGACTTTGAATGTTAGGTTAACAATGTTACCTTTCGAACAGAAAAACACCACTCCTGCTGCAACTTTGAAAGTCAGCTGCAAAAAACTTACTAGAATAGAGGAATGGGACGACTGTGACAGACTATACAAATATGTATACATGGGGTGACACAGTCTATACAAGTGTACATGTTTCTATGGAGGAATGGGGCGACTGTGACAGACTATACAAATATACGTGGGGCGACACAGACTATACAAGTGTACATGTTTCTATGGAGGAATGGGACGACACAGACTATACAAGTGTACGACTGTGACAGACTATACAAGTGTACGTGGGGCGACACAGACTATACAAGTGTACATGTTTCTATGGAGGAATGGGGTGACTGACAGACTATACAAATATACGTGGGGGGACACAGTCTAAACAAGTGTACATGTTTCTATGGAGGAATGGGGTGACTGTGACAGACTATACAAGTGTACGTGGGGCGACACAGTCTATACAAGTGTACATGTTTCTATGGAGGAATGGGGTGACTGTGACAGACTATACAAATATATGTGGGGTGACACAGTCTATACAAGTGTACATGTTTCTATGGAGGAATGGGATGACACAGACTATACAAGTGTACGTGGGGCGACACAGACTATACAAGTGTACGTGTTTCTATGGAGGAATGGGATGACACAGACTATACAAGTGTACGTGGGGCGACACAGACTATACAAGTGTACATGTTTCTATGGAGGAATGGGACGACACAGACTATACAAGTGTACGTGGGGCGACTGTGACAGACTATACAAGTGTACGTGTTTCTATGGAGGAATGGGACGACTGTGACAGACTATACAAGTGTACATGTTTCTATCGAGGAATGTCAAGGTCACAGTAGCTTGGCCAGACTACAAGCAAACATACAGTGACGACTAACTGGCCCGCAGTGATGTGCAAGTACTGTTAGGTTGTTGTTGTTGTTGTTGTTGTTATCGATCCAACAACAGCTGGGCTCTCGCCCTTCTGTCCAATGCCATGTAGTGATAAGTGCAGGTCTGCTGCAGTTGCTGTAATGTTCCATAGAGTGTGTTGTCAATGTTAGGTCTCGGAGGGAGAAGGGTAGCTCTGATGTCATTTAGGGCTGTACAGTGGAACAGGTGATGATCCACAGTCTCATATGTTATAGTCACACAAGGGACACATTGGGGGAAGTTCCGGGTTTATTCTGTTCAGGTGAAAGTTGAGCTGTATATGTTCTGTTCGTAGGCGGAAGATCGTGGTCTGTTTCTTTCTCTGAAGGCGGTTGATATTGTCATTCCTTTTTGTTGTGGTCATATGTTTGAAAACTACTCTGCCTGTCTTTCCCAGGGCCCATCTGTTCATCCAATCTTGTTTGTTGTTGCTTTTGATGATTTATTTTGCAGTGTGGTATGAAGTTGGAATGTTGGGTTGTTCCTGTCTAGATCCCCATTTGGCGAGTGTGTCTGCTCTGTCATTTCCAGGTATGTCTGAGTGTCCGGGGACCCACTGCATCACTAGGTTGATGCCACAGGATGTTATCAGATGATGGGATCCAAACAGTATATGGGTCAAATCTTGGTTTAGATGATGGTCATTTTCTATGGCTTGTAATACTGATAGTGAGTCAGTGAAAATCACAATGCTCTGTGCTTTTCCAGGATGAGTGTCAAAAACTGTGCGGATATAGTACAGTGCTGTTTCAATTGCCATCATTTCTGCATCGTAGTTGCTGCATTTCTCTCCACACGCTGCAGAGATCTCATTGGAACTTCCATCTGGGTACTGTATTAGTATTCCATATCCGGCTTTGGTTGTGCCTTTGAATGCTGAGCCGCCCGTATAGACGTGTATCCAGTCATCTGAATAGCTGTCGATTGTTTGATGTGATGCAAGCATCAGCGTCACTGGGTCTGAAGATTTTGTGCTCTTGTCTTTGAGAGATGTTGTAATGATTGGCTTTTTTAAAGAAAGGTGGGGAGGGATGTTTTGGTTGACTCTTTTGGTTTCTCTTCTGTTTTGTGGTGGGTGGTGACTCTCCATTAGTTCTGTGATGTGATGCATGATTGACTTTTGTTGAATTCGTTTCTTTGGTTTCCATGCTTCTACTAATTTCCTGTTTGGGTGGTTGGGGCACATTCTTTTAGTTCTTTCATGTAGCTCCAAAACTGCTTTATCTCTGCGGATTCCCAGGGGTTCAACATTTGCAAGGATTTCGCACGCGGCGGTAGGTGTGGATCTCATGCCGCCATTTATAAAACGAAGGGCATTGTTTTGGACCTTGTCAAGGGTGTTGCAAGTAGTTGTACTGCACATAGTGAGTAGGCTATTGCTGTATTCCAGGGAAGATCGGACATAACCCAGGTATAGAGCTCTCAGGGTTGTGGGTAGTAAGTACTGTTAGGAGTTTCTTGATTTGAAGACCCGGGGGTCAAAATGGATGGGTCAATGACCCTGGAATAACCAACAAAGTGGAGGTAGTGCTGTGAGTGTTGTTGTTTTCCAATCCTTTGGCTCTGGCTGTTGGTGGCTTCTGTTGGTCATCGTGTCGTCGGGGCGAGCGCTCCACCAGGCAACTATAGCTGCTCGGTAAATGCAGAGATGACATTAGAATCAGACATTGCCAGAGACTTTTCTCTAGTGATTCGTTGAACAAGTGCGTAGTAAGTTCTTGAATGAGGGCAGCTGGTATCACCTGACCAGGCCTTGACCTATGTATCCGTGGAAAGGTGGGCGTGAAAACTCTGTTGTTCTAATATATAGATATAGTGGGTGTCGCATTCAACGAAAAGTCGGCTGAAACAAGGCAATCCTTAGTCCCCGATTTTTTCCTCTTGTAAATGTACGTCAGCTCCAACGAGGTTGCAAACAGACCGAAGTCGCTTCGCTTTCAATGAGGTCATGATAACCAAATAAAAGCAATTAGCGGCCCCAAAAGCTAAGAATATTTCTCCTTTCTCTCCATCTCACGCGAAGCACAAGGCCCATCACTGATTCCTTACACATGGTATTGCTAGATCTAGTATGCCTCCTTATAATAATGGGCCCCAAAGCCAAGAGGATGGATGAGGGTTAGCCTACGGTAGGGATGGGAGGGGGTGGGTGGGAACGCGATGTGGGCTGTGTGAAACTGAATGAACTCTGGATGGGTAGGTCTAGATCGAGACCTTCACTTTTCAATTTTCTTTTCTTCCTCTGATAAAAAAAATCCAAGCTCCCGCCTTTACTTTATGTAGGTCTAGGCCTTGATGTGAGAGGGTATGTTTCCACATGAGAAGTGTTCCGGGAAAAAAATGCCGGTCGTTTAAAATGCAGAAATGACGGTCAGAACACAGCTCAGACACGAGCACACTAATGCTGTTTGAGATTTTCGTCATCAGGGGGAACAACTGTTTTAATTACTGGTATTGGTACATCGTGTCATATAATAACTTGTCTCCTTTCTTTACTTTCGCCTCAGTCACGTTCAACGAGAGGTTGGATCTAACGAGGACAACAAGCCGGTCCCGGCAACCTCGTTGATGCGACACCCACTGTATACATGTGTACTTCATTGGTGTTTCTTCTACTTCTCCGTCTATCGTGATCATTTCTAAATATAACATGTGTACTTCACTGGTGTCTCTTCTAATTCTCTGTCTATCGTGATCATTTCTAAATATAACATGTGTACTTCACTGGTGTCTCTTCTACTTCTCCGTCTATCGTGATCATTTCTAAATATAACATGTGTACTTCACTGGTGTCTCTTCTACTTCTCCGTCTATCGTGATCATTTCTAAATATAACATGTGTTCTTGTTCCCCCGCACAGGCTGGTTGTTCAAGTTGAAACTTTCGTCTGACGTGAGCACGGATGGGCTGATGGATGAGGAGGCCTATAACAAATTTGTGGGCTCCTTAGACCATTGAGGGAATGGCCACGGTCACCCTGAGGTCAAACAGCATTCCCCTAGACTTGTTGCTTACTTAGCTTTAATGTGTTCTCTATTCTCTTCTCAGTATTTATGATCCTCTTCATTGAATGTTAGTTTTGCAAAAAAGAGGTGCATTCCATATATATGGATGTCTGCATTTTCGTCTTACTTAAAAAACTGTATTTTCTCACTGCTGAAGTGACATGTACTGTAGTCTCTGTGAGGTACGGCGGCCAAAGCTGTCAGTTATTGAGACACTTCCTCTCTGCCTCACATGCCTGATAGACTTGTAGAGACACTTCCTCTCTGCCTCACATGCCTGATAGACTTGTAGAGACACTTCCTCTCTGCCTCACATGCCTGATAGACTTGTAGAGACATTACATCTCTGCCTCACATGCCTGATAGACTTGCTGACACACTACATCTCTGCCTCACATGCCTGATAGACTTTCTCTCTGCCTGACAGCGGAACCATTCCTTCCTCCAGTTGTTAGGCCTACATGGCAAGTCAAGCTGTCAAGACTGACTTTTGGGAAAGGGCAAGCGCAGGAAAGGATGTGGAAAGACAGATCTGACCTATTCCTCCACAAAAGCAATAAGAGGGTACATTATATTGGGATGGAATAGGTGGGAGAATTGGGATGTCTTCTTATTTCTGTTCATTATTATATTTTTTCTTGTTATTTATGTTGCTTGTAGTCGTGTTGTTTATACTGGATGTCAATTAACATACCTGGAAGTTTGTTTTGTGATTTACATCTTTGTCTTGTAACGGTGCCTTTTGTTGACTTGTACTGGGTAGCGCACAAAATAAATCTATAAATACATGTGACGTCATGGAGTTCTTTGCCATGTGTTTTGAAAATGCGTGGGATGAATGGAGAGTGCCTCTGGTCAATTCAACTTGTGTACCGTCCATCTGTTTTTTTGTCTTTTTTTTAAAGGTGATATTGAGTGAGATTACACAAATCTTGATTACCAACAGGCAAATGAATGAAACATATTGAGTGAGATTATAAAAATCTTGATTACCAACAGGCAAATGAATGAAGCATTTAACACCTAGAGTGGTGTTGTGCTGTGGGTGTCGATTTGCACCTAGAGCATCGTTGCTCGGCATTTCAACGGCCGAATGTCTGACACTGTCATGATGTGCTTTCCTGTGAGGTCGAGAAAGAAGGTCCGATTTGAATTAACTGAAAACAAGGTTAGAAAGAGAAAGTAACATAGCCCTTTTTTCTTTGAGCATTTGAATGGTTGAAATTGACCCAGAAATAAAGCTTGTGTGAATTTTTAAAGTAAATATAATGCCTAAATGGAGGGTGTGAGAATCCAAGGACTTTGAATACACATAAAAATTGTCCATGAAGGGATCTAGACCAAACAATAATAATTACACTGACACTGACGTCGTAGTTTTCCACAGGCGCTCCAACCATGGCGCGGAATTTTGATTTTTTGCAGAATTTTGAAAAATTTTGCAGCTTTAGATCTACAGTGGAACTCGGATTCAACGAGATGAGAAAGATTCCCCGTTTTTTTTCTTCTTTAAAATCAATAAAAATAACCTGGATTCAACGATCACTTAAATCAGCGAGCTCGGGTTCAACGAGGTCGCTTCCAGTTCCAGGGTGAGCAGCCCCTGCTGATGTGGCTTCGTCATTTTTCTCCCATAACGAACTTTATCTATTCCCTTATTCGCTTAGCCGATTGCATGCGACCAATCAGCGGCCTTTTTTCATACCAAGACATGCGTTTTTGTCTCGCGCACGAGTCTACTCTGGCGTGTGTCGGGGTCGGATGGGCAGCCTGCACACGTGTGACTGTGTGTGTGTCGGGGAGGGAGGGTGGCGTACTAGCGGTCTGGGCGTTGAACGTCACAGTCACAGATACAAATGCGTCAGTCTTTTTTCCCCCTCGGCAACTGATCGTTATTACAATGATAAGCTAGATCTAGACCTGACGTAGATCAACGTAATGAATTGTGCGCTTGTCTATGAAATCAAAAGTTGCCGTATGCTAGGCTCTACACAGCAACACAACTTTTTGACAAACAATCGAGATGACAAAGGCGTGTGCAATTGAACGAATCTGGTCTTTTTTTTGTACACAGCTCATAATATGCAGGCATTTGACTTTTCAGGCACTACCTCACTGTGACTTCTCTTTATACATTACTTGCTCAGTGCCTGTAATTGTCTACACAAAACCTCGTGTCTGCTATAACGAACACTCGGATTCAACGAGATTTTAGGTCAGGCCCGGCGACCTCGTTGAATCCGAGTTCCACTGTATTAATAAAAATTATTATGCTTTCAGACGTAGAATTGCAAGGGAAAAAAAATTGAACTGAAGCGAGCTGACCACGTTCGAGTGATCTCCCTCTCACCGGAAGCCGGAAATTAGAGCGCTCTTTTTTTGGAAACCAAATTGATCCAGATGTAGATTCTTGTTTGTTTTAGTAACTACTGTAACGTTTACGGAACTCGGGACTGCATAGCTGTCCCTGTGGATTATGCACCCCGCATAATTTAGTAAAATTTGATCATTTTTTGCATAATTTCTGATTATTTTCCTTTATCATTCTTTGTTAATAAAATTAACAGAATCGCATAATTTCACATTTTTGGGCTCAGTTTGCATAATTTCAGAATTTTTCTTGCATAAAACAACGGGGACAGGCATAAGTCATACGAGCGCCAAGGGGTGGATGTCAACAGAGAAGTCCAAACGGGGAATCAGGCTTACTCTGTTCACCTCTCTTGCCTCAACAGCACAAAGTCTGCCTCCACTATCAAGGCACCCCGGAAATAGCAGTTTATAAGAGAGTGACAGGCATACAAAGGAAGTAGAGGAAAAATGACGATAGTAAGGATGAGGAAAGAAAAAGCAGCAGTTCCCCTATGTTGTTCCAGCACAGTATGAGTATGAGCATGACATCGGTAAATCAGCCCATTTACAATTCTACTGTGCATAAGAAAAAAATGTAATTATCTCCCCTTTGGGAATGGCCTCAAAACACTTCAGTCCGTAGCACTGCCTTCTATCTAGATTCTCTTGTGCATGCCCTAGTACAGGCTTTTGTACAGGAGTACAGGCGAGACGAGATTTGTCTTTCAGCAAAAATGGATATATTTTTGAAAGGAAAGAAATTATAGAATGCGTTGAAAACAAAAGTAGCTGAACGTCAGCTTCAGTTTACCAAAAGCACACACGTGTCTGGCGGAAAACTGTTTTGTTAGTACATATGTAATGTGGTACTTGACCAGACCCGTAAATCCACAGTGGACGGGCATTTCTGTATTTATGCCATCTTAATAATAATAGATAACATTTGTATTGTGCAAATCCCCGCTCAACAGCAAGCTCTATGCACTTCACAATAATAATAATAATAGATAACATTTGTATTGTGCAAATCCCCGCTCAACAGCAAGCTCTATGCACTTCACAATAATAATAGATAACATTTGTATTGTGCAAATCCCCGCTCAACAGCAAGCTCTATGCACTTCACAATAATAATAATAATAGATAACATTTGTATTGTGCAAATCCCCGCTCAACAGCAAGCTCTATGCACTTCACAATAATAATAATAGATAACATTTGTGTTGTGCAAATCCCCGCTCAACAGCAAGCTCTATGCACTTCACAATAATAATAATAGATAACATTTGTATTGTGCAAATCCCCGCTCAACAGCAAGCTCTATGCACTTCACAATAATAATAATAGATAACATTTGTATTGTGCAAATCCCCGCTCAACAGCAAGCTCTATGCACTTCACAATAATAATAATAGATAACATTTGTATTGTGCAAATCCCCGCTCAACAGCAAGCTCTATGCACTTCACAATCTATACTATTACCCCAGCAGACCTGAGAGCATTCTGAAACAACCTCAACTTCCTGGGAAGCACACAGTACAAGCAGCCATATAGGCGCTAAAACACTAACATATTGACAAGATCTTTCGGCGTCTATGGCCGGGTACCTATTCCCACCTGGATGAAGTGAGGAAAATTCGTGTAAAGTGCCTTTCCCAAGGACACAACGTCGAGCCCTCGGCTCGAACCTCCGAACCCGCAACCTCACGATTATGAGTCCGGTAGTCTAACCACTAGGCCTACGACGCTTTTCCTTCTGGGCTGTTTCTAATTTTAATTGCAAGCTCTTCCTGAGACTTAAGAATGTTGTTGTTGCTTGGTTGTGGTAGGGCTGGTCTTCCATCTTCCAATAATTCTCCTACATATTCTGTTCATCTTCCTAGGGCTTTTTTTTTCTCAAACAACATAATTGTCTTTTTTTGTTTTCAACACTTCCTGACAACCAATGACACAGCTCAAACTGACAGCTCACCTGATTGAGAAATTACACAACGGTGTCTCACTTCTTTGGGTCCCACTTTTGCTAGTTTTTATGTCATGGGCTTGTGTTTCTAAACAAAAGCTGCTAATTACTGGGGGGTTTTAATAAAGAAATTTCCCTTGAGCCTTCTAGGCCCCTGTCTGAGTTAGCTTGGGTGTTTTGTTAAGTTACAACATTGCTGGCTGGCTGAGGTCTGGGTTCGATCCCCGAGGGTAGGAGGAGGAGTGCACTTCAACGCAAGCTCAAAGACATAATGTTTTTAAATAGAAAGGGAAAGGTTCTGTATCATTCAAGAACATTTGGCTACTTTTGATGCCATTCTCAACTTTTCAACCCTCTTTCGACAGCTGCAAGTCTCACAGGAAGGAGGCCCATGTATTTGAAAAGTTGAGAATGGCATCAAAAGTAGCCAAATGTTCTTGAATGCAGATTACATCCCTGTGGCCACAATTTCGATCATTTGAGAGGCAAGCTGCCCACCCTGCCAACACAGCAGAGAGACCAAGGTACTTGAGACAACTTTCTCCCCATTCAGGTGAAGCAGGAGCAACAAAAGCAAACAACACAATATTGCAGCAGAATGTTCGGAAGAAAGAAGGAAAAATGATTTCCAAAACTTTCAAATTTCACCCCAAAGTTTAATGATACTTTACAAATGTTTACATTAAAACATATATAGGAATGGCAGAGGCATATGATGAATTATGAAAATTCATATCAGTATTACAAGCCATAGAAAATGACCATCATCTAAACCAAGATTTGACCCATATACTGTTTGGATCCCATCATCTAATAACATTCTGTGGCATCAACTTAGTAATGCAGTGGGTCCCCGGACACTCAAACATACCTGGACATGACAGAGCAGACACACTCGCCACACGGGGATCTAGACAGGAACAACCCAACACTCCAACTTCATACAACACTGCAAAACAAATCATCAAAAGCAACAACAAACAAGATTGGATGAACAGATGGGCCCTGGGAAAGACAGGCAGAGCAGTTTTCAAACATATGACTACAACAAAAAGGAATGACAATATTAACCACCTACAGAGAAAGAAACAGACCACGATCTTCCGCCTACGAACAGAACATATACAGCTCAACTTCCACCTGAACAGAATAAACCCGGAACTTCCCCCAATGTGTCCCTTGTGTGACTATACATATGAGACTGTGGAGCATCACCTGTTCCACTGCAAAGCCCTAAATGACATCAGAGCTACCCTTCTCCCTCTGAGACCTAACATTGACAACACACTCTATGGAACATTACAGCAACTGCAGCAAGCCTGCACTTATCACTACATGGCATTGGACAGAAGGGCGAGAGCCCAGCTGTTGCTGGATCAATAACAACAACAACATGAAAACTTATGCCGATATTTTACTGTTGAAACACATTAAATTACAGAAGCCTATAAATTACCCAAGGAAATATTTGTTGTT